ACTATTGCAAAACATTTTATTAAAAAAAGTTACTTTAAACTAGCGCTGTTTTTACGGACTTTATAGTTTTTATCTCATAATAAGACTTTTTGTGCACGCAAATCTACACAATGGCTGATTTTATAATAGTAGAAATAAATTTGGATGTGGTTTTTAGTGTCCGATAAATAAATATTTAATTCTCATGTATCGTGAAAACAGTTTACAAACATGAATGGGACAAGGAAAAAGATACAGACCCGGAACTATTATTTGTAGGCCATACAAAAATACTTGATCCAAACTCATTGAAAGCCACTGCGCCACGGAGTCATCTTTCTTTTTTTACACGCAACGCTTATCTTTCGGATTGGCGACCACAGTACCGAACGTCTGCCAAACTTTGTTACTGGTCACCGATCTAGGTATTTGTGTCTTGTGTAAGTGAGATGTGATTATCTGTCAGAATCTACGATAGTTCTTACATCTACGGCAAGGTAACGGAAATCTATTAAGTCTTTTATTTTCATTTTTTACCTGTTCAGTTGCTTAAAATTCTGAGCCACCTGCATTCGTCGACTTTCTGCATGTCTTACCAGGTTGTCACCACAAGATCTATAGGTGGCTGACCTACACTGTGCCAAGCAAAACGAAACTGCAACCCTAGAACCGTTCCTCCCCATTGGTTGTCAATTCTTCGAGCTATATTTTTTATAGAATAATGGTAACAAACGATCACACAGTTCATCTAATGGTACACTTACCATTCGATGAGCTATGGCTCATAGATATCTACATCTATACTTGATTTATAATCAAAATACAAATGGTCACCCTTGAGGACTACGATATAATGCCTCGTTTCCTGTAAGAAGGATCTCGGTTTCTCTACGATACGATGTACAAATCACAGCTGCATTAAGCTGCTATTTTACGATGGTTTTCTGTAAGGTTTTGGTCATTCCCCAATCGATACGAGCCATTCGTGCTACAACCATAAAAGAGCTGCAGCGTGGCTTTACGTATATACAGGGTTATTTTGCAATTACCGGCCAAATTTACAGAGAAGTTTCAGAATAATTAACATACCCATTTGTTGAACATAAATTAATTTAAAAAAATTAAATATTCTGTCCTTTTATGTTTTAAATTCAAAATTCATGATAATGTATTATTTTAACTGATTGTTATTCATAACTATCTATTTTACTACGCACGTACAAATTCGTAAGGGTCGATCGATCGGCAAAAACGTTGTGAATTAAATCGCACACAGAGGAGCAGCGCGCTTACGCGTAGTTGTTGCCCATAAATCAAATTAAGTTTAGGATAATTTTAAATAAAAGTAGAAGCCTTATTTACTCGTGTTTTCAAAAACTGCAATAACGAAATATCATTATTTATATATTTGAACCTAAGTTTAAAAGGGAATTACCAGTTTCGGCTAAGCTTGGAAAAGATGCCTGGTAAAAATAATGTTTACTAAATACAGTTATTAATTCTGAAAGAATTAACATTGCACATCAAATGGTGGCCTGGTACACGTATAAAAAATTGAAACAAAGAGTATTTAAACTGTATCCACCAGTTAAAAATCATAGGCATTTGTTAAAAAGCATAGCCTCTTATTTATCTGTTGGGTCATGTCGGTTCCTCTGGTAGTATTGTTTTATCACGCAGAAAAATCCGAACATAGCCCACTCCATAGCTCGCTAAGTGACCTTAAACTTCCTAACACGCCCAGCTGATATACATTTTTATATACATTTGACATATTCTTTAAGAAAGAAGTTATTTGTTTTGCTTCTGTTCTATGATAAGCTGATAAAACAAAATTATATTTGTCTATTTGATGAAACCGCTTTTATAAAACTAAAGTTCAAACGAAACGAAGATCTGTGGGGAAGTAACTAATTCAGGCCTTGGAATTCTTTATTACAGTTTGCGTTGTCACCTCTAAGGACTAAGAGTACCTGTAATTGCGACGCTTAACTTAGTATATTTGTAAATATGTTTTTTAATTCTGAATACAGATTAAAGTTGTAAGATTGTAAACGTGTACGTATTGTGGATGAAGTGACATCTGCAGGCAATAACAGTGTCGGAAAACAAATGAAATGTTAGCAAAAGCTCAACCAGAAATATTGCTCGTGTAATTAGCCTTTGATCAAACATTTGAGCGCTGTGAGTGAGGCGGCTCGTGCCTTTATTAATGTGCACTAAGAGTTTGTGCCAACACGCAAGCGACCACCGCCGCGCCACTGTCAACACTCGACACTCGCCGCATGAAGCGCTTACATACAGTATTATGCGGGATTGTACACATTATTGTGAACAGGATTTTACAAGCACGAGCTTTTAATAACGGCGCTTGAAAATAAACCAAGGTTTGCCAATGTTCATATCTCCATGGAGTTCTTTCTATTACTTTATTTTAAAGAACTTTTATATTTCTATTGATGTGTCGGTGACGTCATGTTCTTAACTATGCTAGAACCTGTCTTTTACTATTAATGGATTGTGCTATGTACGACCCAACTGCACAATTCTTACAACAATCCTACGAATAATTCGGATGCCTTTTTGATTTAGGGTCTTTTTGACTGTCTCGGTAGTCTATGGCTATTAAACGCGATAGCAGTTCGTGTGGTCCTGTGTTCGAATCCTGGGTCTGGCCAAAATCAGTTATTAGATTTTTCTGTCAAGAAATTCTCCTAAACAGCCCTGAATCCGGAAGCTTGCGGTGTTTCACCCCCGTGCTTTAAAAATAAAATACAGCCGTTCTTCCTACGGTTGTTCTCTGCTCGTGTCGGATTGTTGTTCAAAAGGACTATGAAAGTGAGGGAATATGACGTGCAATCTTGCTTGCGTCGCTATACTTGATCACTTTAATCCTTTTCTTCGCAGATGACAAGCCCCTGTTGAGACTGACCGCAGTGACCAGAATTCGGTTTGATGGACATTATTAAATTATATCTCATTCTATTATTGTTAAAGCACCAGTCAGTCGTACTGACATCAGTAAACCATTATAGTCCTGTACATGTGGGGAGAGACAGAGAGTGTGTGGGGCTTGGGTATATGCAGCTACTAGAAATTTTGTTTAACTTTAAACTTTTTATATATATACAGCATCATTATGCCTGTACGGTACAACGTAACATTTGCGACGGTCAGCATTCTTACGCACTTACTTTACATTATTTTATAATACCAGTTTCGAAACTACGACCGCGTGTTCTCACATCAATCAATAATTTTATAACCAATGTTTTTCCTTATCAATTACTTTAATATTCATTAATGTTTATCATAACCAGAAGCTACCTTATTTGTCAGATATCAAATAAAAGTTTGTGTGGACAAATCCATCCATAAGATGCCTTTATCAGACTGCTTCAAATCCATTGGAAGGCCTTGGGAGTACCCCAGCTGGGATGTATAGTTAGAACGAATGCTTACATTTGTCGTAGAGGTCAGGAGGCTTCGTTGGCGCAGAACCGATACAATCGCACTGATAATTTCATCACCAGACCTTAGTTTAAAGTATTTTTTTCTTTGTCTTTGACGTTATCATATTTCACAACTATAAAACTCTGCTAGACTCTGCGGTGTTTGACCGCTAAGCTTAGCGAAATTGAAGAAGCGAGTCACGTGACGTATTATCGTCGGTGGTGTGTCTTTCCTAGTGTAGTGGTGTTGGGAGTAGTTGTGTTAGGAATAGTGGTGTTGGGATTAGTGGTAAGGAGGATAGTGCACGCAATTGAGGGAGGACGCAAGGTGCTTTTCAAGCCAGGCAAAGTAATTTTTAGTGACAATAATATAATAGATTTTCGCAAAGTAACGCCTCATTCTGTTAATTATATTAAGAATGGGTTTAGTTCGACCGAGAAAGAACTACGGTCTCCTTGTGTTTTGTATGGTGAGTGTCTAAAACGGGAGACCCTTTTACTTTCTCAAAGGTGGTAGCAGGGCAAAATCTACAACCTTGTCCAGTCTCTTACTAGTACAGGGAGAGTTTTAATTACAAACGATCTTATCCTCAAGGTAGTTGATGTGTAGTCGATATGCATAAGTACCATGCATGTATCGGAATTATTTTTATCTTAATTTAATAAAAAGTCGCTTCATTGCCGTTAAAATATATCTACTTACATAACAATGGCCTTCGTTTTCGACTCGGTATTAGAATATTTCTCTAATCCGATTAGATAACGTTCACGTGCCGCGTGTCCGAAATAAGATTAACATTTTACGCTAGGTAATTCAGTACCGACACGCGATTGAGCCGTGTGTGTGCTGTGACGCAGTCTTCTTGTCGCCTGGCATCTCTTGTGAGACTAGGATTTATCATAACATTGCGTCAAGCTAGTTGGCCGCGGCTCGTGGCTGCTGCGTGGACACGAACCGAAGCGATTACACGCGCTCGGAGTATGTGTTGCAAATTATCTTCAACCCTTCATATCTATACCTTCATTATGATAACAATTCGTTGTAGATTGTAAAAATACATTACAGAGATTACATTATAGAGATTTTTTTATAGGGTAAGGATGACAAACGAGCACACAGTACACACAGATGAAATAATTTTCTTCTACGCGTAAGATCGATAAAAACCCTGTAAAAGAACATATAGTTGACGGGAAGCACGGCGGGATGTCTGCAGACCCCACAATTACATCAGATTTGATGAATCAAAAATCCGCGCATAAGAACATCGATTCTGATTTCTGAGGCTATTGAAATTAAAAAAACATCCTAATTTAAATAGAGAAGATGATTGGTTGATAACATCTGCATCGAATTCTATAATTAATAAAATTTAGTCCAAACCCGGTATGCTTGGGTTCAAGACTACAAGATTCAAGGTAGATCGGACAAAATATTTAAAAGTGAAGTGTGTCTAACTCTAAACCCTAAAGTAAAACAAGTTCATTTAAATGCGATAAAAAAATATTAGTTTTATTCAACACAATTATACTGTATCAAAGCACATCTTGTATCTATGCAACTATATTTTAGTCACATGCATGCAGGCCGGGACCTATGCAGGCCGCGTATGCCATGAGGTGCGGCAGTTGGCTCTGCTCGTACAGACCCGAGAACATCTGGTGCTGCGGCCCGCGTGCGAACACCGCCACATCGTCACCGCCGTGCGTCTCTGACTCCAGTGGCACGGCTGCTGGTGCCAAGAACTCTATGTCATCTGTACAAAAGTCAACAGTATTCACTATGTAATATGAAATGAAAGAATAGAAGTCAAATTCACCATCATTATCATCATCATTACAGCCCTTCACAAGTCCACTGCTGAACATAGGTCTCCCCCAAGGAATGTCACAAGGTATGTTCCTGAGCCACCTGTATTAAACGTCGCCGGCAAGGTACGAGGCTGCCACTCAAGAACCTTTCTTCCTCATCGGTTGTCAATTCTTTAAGCCGCACTAGAACCACAGTAATTGGCATATTATAAGTCGAAATGAAATAAAATCAAAGTAAATCTCAACGCCGCAACTCAATAACATCTTGTGGGTAGCGTAAATGGCGGTAAAGGTAAATGAAACAGGACATATGCAGCAGCATCTGCCAGCGTGCAACGCGTGCAAAGCATGGCAACTTTGGCAAACATCTCTCCACCCATGAGGCAATCAATGAGGGAGGGTTATGTCAAGGTGTGTCTAGTAGTGTACTTTTGATTTTCTTTAATGAATATAAAATTAAAAATATCGCAAACTGAGGTTGCCAATCTACCCGCCACGCGTGGCAATTTAAACAAATCCTCGCTACAAGGAAGGGAGGTGTCTGTCTCAGCAGTGGTATTTTAGTTGGCTAATGAAAAGATGAAGTTAAAGCTCATATTAAGTCGGAGTAGACAAAGCCCCACAAGCACCACACATGACGTCTGTGGCAGCAATCGTCCTCGTCTCCGTGATAATGAGCCGAGTGAATCGAACCGAATGAGTCTTGTCATGTCTTCATGACTTACTTAAAACGGAGCGACAATTTCCGAATACCCTCGAAAACTATAAAAGACACGTATAACTTTCAAACGAACTTCAACACAACATAAAATATTATAGAATAATTTTTATGTTATATGTATAGATTAAAAATTATTCTTACTAAAAATTGTTTTCTACTTTTACCCTAGTGAAACTATGTTGTAAAAGCTTTTATATAAAATATTCAGAAATAACTTAGATGGCCCTTTATTACTACATAAATTTAATTTTCGTATCCCAAGTAGATATCCTCGTAAATTCATTACTCCTCTTTTGCCGCCTCTTCGTAGAACTGTACTAGTATTTAATTCCCCAATACCCAGACTTTGCAGGTTATTAAATACCTATAATAATGTAGTAGATATTCGCCACGTTTTCGGCACAAAATTTATCAAAATATTAATGTTCCTTTGTACTAATTTTATTTGTATGAATTTAATAATTTTGTTTTATTTTTTATTTTAAGTTTGTATCGCATATTTTTAGCCATTTCGTAATGGCTTGTAGGAAATGCTGTGAACACTAAGCATGCAGTGTTTATCTACAGTAATAGGTGTACACTTAGTTTATATTGCTGTCTTAGAATTAGGCAAATGTATTAGTGTAACATTTGTTGGTGAACCAAAAAATAAATAAATAAAAGTAAAAGCGTATTCATTGCCCCATGAATGAATTACTGAATTTGTGGAGTCAACAACCTGGTATCACTAGCTTGTTTTTGTTCCTCATTAACGCCACTAATGCAGAAAAATAAAATAATAAGGCACTTACGGTAATCATACTTGGTAACATCTTCACGGACACCGTTGCTGTATGGGCGGTACCCAGGACCATTACTATACGATAGAGTCATGTAAGGTATTCCATCATCACCCAAGTCATCAGAAGGCCCGAGGATGTCTCCACCACGGTACGTATATCCGTTGATAGACATTACATGCGCATGGTCTGATGTCACTACTATTAGAGAATCTTCCTCCGACAACAATTCTGTTGCACGAGCTACTGCTGCACTTAGTTCTATAGTTTCATCCAATGCCAGATGTACTAAATTATCATGGTGAGCGTGATCAATGCGTCCACCTTCTACAAATAAAAAGAAACCCTTTTCGTTGCGACTTAAAGCTTTAATTGCAGCCTCTGTTAGCTCGGCTAGAGATGGTTCTGTAGTCTTGTTCGCTTGCATGTGATACTGCATGTGACTGCCTTCAAATAATCCAAGTAAATAGTCTGGCTGTGATTCAACGGCACTCATAAGTTGATCACGGTTCCAGACGTATTGGTAACTGACGTTGCGAGAAATCTTATCGACTTGCCATTGCTCGATTAAGTTTTTACCATCAGACCTCCTTCCGGGTGTGCCCTCTTCGTCAATGACGGTATCAGGCAGGAACTCACGTCTACCGCCGCCCAAGATTACCTTTAACGAGAAAAGTCGACAACATAACATTATGAAATTATAAGAAAATTACAAAATATTGTATCGAATATTTCGGTTTTTTGTAAGGCAACCTTTCTCGTCTCTTTTTCTCATTCTGCATACGTGGCGAACTAAACACCTCTAGTTTTTGTGAGGGTTACAGAGCTGCCGCTGCATTATTGCAATTCAAATTGTGTATTTAAAAACCAAAAATATACATCTGCAACTAACTATATCTATTCTGAAAGTGACTAGTTTATATTCGCGTAACTATTAAAAAAATACAGCGTCTAATATTACGTACGGTACGGTTGTTTTTAAATCCGTTATGAAAGTACTTTACACTTTTCTCACACTTTTCTCTTATCACACTATTTCTCACCCTGTCATTCAGATTCAGCCAAAACATTTAACGTTGTTATCACTTTAGATTTTAAAATACATATTTATATTACATTACAAACATTTAATAAGTGTCATAAATAAATGAGGAATATTTAAAGCCAGTAATGGAAGCACCATTTTGGAAATCATGCGTTAAATATTTATTACTTGAGTACTTATAAAATTGGGTCAGACGTTTTAAAGGAGAAACGTAAAACTTTGAAAATCTGAGAACCTACTTACAGACTTTGAAAACACGCACGCATTTTTAATAGAATCAAAACTTGAAAGGGCTAAACACAAACTTTTAAAACTCTGACGGTTGGCTTGTTAACAAACTCAGCGATGCCTTGTAAATAATGAACGAGTTTAAGTTTCTTTACAAACTTTCTATTTATATTAGTAGCAAATAATTAAGTCTAAATAAAAAATATTTTATGCCATCAGTACAGCGTATAAAACAAAGCTAATGATGAAACACGTCTCGCATGAAATTGTAAACTCATTCATGTTTTTGTATTTGCATTTAATTTACACCACTATAAAATTTTACGCGCATATACGAAGTTATTACACGAAGTAAATAAATTCATATACGTGATAAAGCCATGGTTATAAAATTATGGTTGTAGCACAAATGGGATCGCCCGACCGTGTTATATAGTTTGTATTCAATCTCAAATAAATCGAGAGTAGAACAACACTTGGCGGAACGAAAATAAAATGAGTTTGTGCCTGTGGCGATCGAACCTGTGATGCTCGCGTAATTTGAAACCCCTGAAATAACCGGTTCAGGACCACGCTTTCACAGAATGCCAGCGTAAAAAAGCAGCTTAATACTACTGTGTTTCATATAGTGGATGTGAGGAACCGGAGTCCGTTTTTACTAGATACGAGGCATTCTATCTTAGTCCTCAGAAGGACAACGCATCTAAGCTTTTATTCTTAATCGAGGATAGATTTAGATGTCAATGGGCTACAGTATCCACTGACCTTTTAAGAGAACTGTGTGATCGTCTTCTAAAATTAGAGTTAGCAACAGGTGTCTGTAAACTGCAATGTCACTTACCATCACGTGGCTTGTAGGGTAGTTCTTAATTTTGTTTTGATAATAATTGAGAATCGTTGTAGCTTTCATATTATTTATGTTTAACGTTTGTTTTTGTTATATTGTGTAAATTAATCTGTTCTTAGTATCAATGTCTTATTTGAGTTTCATTATCATTAGCATTACAAGTGGAAAGTGGGCTTATTTGTCGCCCTTATTTTATAAAACAAATTCACTTTAATAATAATAATGGTAATATTTGCTGTACTACCCATATTTCGTAGGTGTCAATGACAAAATTGCCTACATCTTGAAGCGAGCTTCCGTTAAAACGAACTTCAAGCCGCTTAAGAATAATAGTCTGTTTTTCCCATCAGTTAAGTGTAATATCATTACACATGATTATGAATTTGGTCTCTCTCACATAGAACAAACTAAAAGATCAACGACCTGCGTTACAACGCACGTCAAAAGAACACATAGCTGATGTAAAGAATCGACGCTTCGTGAAGTCTGCAGTCTGCGAACACGTACAGAATCGCCCCCGTCACTATATCAGATGATTGTTAGACCACAAATCTTCGCTAAAGAACACATATCTTCAAAGGATGATTAGCGTGGCTGTTAAAATCAATAAACATCCTAATTTCAATAGAGAAGATGACTGGGTGCTACTATATCGGGACCCTTAATTACTAAAATTAAATTCAAACCCAACCATAAAAATGCAAGACTTCTTCAGCTATGATCATTATGCGTAGATCGGACCAAAAATCAATAATTTTAAACTGAAGGTAGCCGTCGTATGACATAGGAACATCGTACACTCAGTGCCCCTCGTGACCATGGGAGCTGTAAAGTACTCGAAACGTCGGAACTTTAAAATAAGTTAATATGCGCCATAAAATTCGTTTCATTTAAATTCAATGTCTTGCCTTGAACTGGTTGCCAGGGTAAGAGTGCACGAGCTGGTGCGCGATGTCACGCTGCACGGCGTCGGTCCCGCAGTCGACGCGCGCGTCCGCGTCGCTCTCCCAGTCGCGCGCCGCCGTGTGCGCGTACGCTCCCGCGGGCGACGCGTGCGTCACGCGCGTTGTCGTCACTATTCCTGTTGCAATGCGCTTTGATAAAGTAATTAAATTATTTTAAAAAATTATATCAGTCTCTATTAAGTTACTATTATCATAACCATCACCATTGTTATAGCTCTTATCAAGGCCACTGCTGAACAGAGGCCTCCCCTAAGGAATGCCACAAAGCACAGTTCGGAGCTACTTGCATCCTTCATCTCATATCGTACATATCCTAATATAATAACTAGACGACAGCGTTTAGTTATTATATAAAGTTTATATGTAGGTATATAAAAGCAATGGAAATTGTTTACTTGCGATAAAAAAGAGCAAAATATTTATTAGAGAGGGTGATTACTTTACGGAAAATCATTATCTATATTGAATTACAGTAAATTAACCAAGATCAGTATGAAAGTATTAAATAATGCACATGGTTGCATGCACTATCAATGCCCGCACAGAGCCCACTACATCTAATTTTAATCAAAACAATATAAATAGGAGAGCGTTATTACCAATGCTTATTTTTATGCACACAAACCGGCCTGCTCAGCCTGCTGAGTATGAACATACTAGGTTTATCAATAAGTTTTTGGGAAAGCAATGAAACTCTAGGATAAGCATATGTCTTTACAGCACATACCTTACCTTATCGTCGCCGTAAAATTTTGTACCACGCAAGTGTTTCTTCAGGTGGGTAAAAAGTTGAAAATCACTCGGAGCTAGATACGGAGAAAATGGTGCGTGCTGCATCAACTGAGACGCAACAGATCGAAGGGCAAGGGCATTATCATGATAAAAAGGACTCTAGACAGAGACTTAGTAATAATATCTGGTTATTGTTTCTCTTTTACTTAAATAGTCGATCATTATTATAACTTCCGCACCCCAGAAGACAGAGGATATTTTTTCCAGTGGACGCAGACACCTTAAATCCCTTGGCTCGTAGGAAATAAGATCTTTTCCACACCTTGCTTTGGTTTTTCGTCTCCTGGTCGAAATGGTGAACCCAAGTTTTATTTACGATTACAAAACGAGCGCAATAAATCTGGATCTTCCTCAATTATTGCTATATTAAGTTTTGAAATATCAACTGCTTTCTTTGGGCGTCTGTTAATATTCGAGGAACCCAACGCGCGGCCACCTTTTTAAATTTTAAGGTGGTTTGCTGCGTTTGAATTCAGCGCACCAGTATTTTCCTATAGAATTAGACGGAGCATTGTCTGCCAAAGTAGAATGCAATTCTTCAAAAACATATTTAGCATTTTTAGCAATTGATAAGTGTTCTATTCCGAAAACTTATTGATCAACCTAGTATTTTCCGAATAGTACACTAAATATGACAAATTCTTAAAAAGGTCCATGTAAAGCAGTTAACTTAAATCTGAGGATGACGATAATTGAGTCATCTGAATAGCCATATGATGGCGGCATAAGAAAATCCATAACCCAATTTCATCCGATGGCTGTCGTAAGAACCGACTATGAGTAATATAAAAAAAATCGGCTTCCGTTAGATGGCAGTGTAACAAAAATCGATTACGCCAGATGTGGAATACCCAGACCGGCAACAGAAATCAGGTCACAAAGTGAGAGGTAAAACCTTTAGTACTACGTTCATCAATCCACCTGCCTAGCGTGACATTAAAATAAATTCCTCTCTGCAGTGGGAGAAGCTATGTCCAGCAAGAGAGTTTCACTGACTGAAGGAGAAAAAGAAAAAAGTTGGTGTATAGAGGAAGTGGTGTGTACCGGCGTCCCTTCCGTCCTCCAAGGCCCATGCAGCGATAGAGCTCAGCTGGTGCTGCTCTTCTTCTGCGGCGACGCAGTGAAAACGCGGGACAGCCGCTGTCACGCCGATGGTGCCGCGATTAGCTTTCACGCCACAAAGGTACGCTGACGCTGTACACGCCGAATCGGCGATTTGTGCATTCACGCAGTATGTCTGTAGTGATAATTATTTCTAACATTTTTATAGAAGGATAACAAAAGAGCAAATGGACTGACGTAAGTAAATTTTATGGTACATGGTAGCTCAGATGGTTAGCGCTCGCTGTAAGCTTCACAGTACTCGAGCAACCCGGGTTTGATCCCCGCCGGCACCAATGAAATTGTTAATTGCAATTTTAAGTGCTGATTTACCACGTGCTCGGCGGTGAAGGAAAACATCGTGAGAAAACCTGCATGTTTGAGAAATAAAAAAAAAATATTTCGATGACATGTGAAGTTCGCCAACACGTATTGGGGCAGCGCGGTGGACATTTCCTTGCCATAAAACCCTCTCAGAAATGAGAGGAGGCCTGTGCCCAGCAGTGGGACGTAAATAGGCTGCAACTTTACTTTACTTTTAGTAATACATACGTCTAATATGCATTAAGAATTAAAATTCAGATGCGTTGTCTCACCTTCAAACTAAACTTGAATGCCTCGTTCCAGTTCAATATACTCAGTAAGCAAAAGAGCATTATTAAGCGGCTATTTCGTGAAAGATTGCCCCAGGTCAAGCCGACCCAGTCAACAAAATATTTACATGGTATTTATTATATTTCTATACGACGAGGGAAACCGTGACCAGAGGCTTGTCATTCAAAAGCAAACATTCGCTGCATTATGGCTGCAGGGCAAATGAGTGAGCTTGACCAGTGAAAGACTCATACAACACAATATCAAGCTGAAGTGGTTACATAATGCTACCGTGAATAAAGAGAATGATTAATTAAAGAAGATTATTTTTATTGGTAACTGAGTATTCAATTGCAATTCTCAGAGCATACTCAACACTCTTGCATTGTAACTCTTTATCGAGATTGAATGTAGATGCCTATGAACCACAACCCTATTGTGTGCTTCTTTGTCAACTTAACTTATATAAAAAATCTAAATCTTTACATTAACAATGTCGAATACGATCAAATGTCACTCTTTTGAGTGAAATGCAAGTAAGTGATATAGAATCAATAGTAAAAAATCAAGAAGAAATATTGATGTCTTACCTTAGCAAGGCCGACGGTGGGGAAGGCCTCAAAGGCAAGTTGCGATTCTTCGCCGGGACGGTTGTCACGTTGCCCCATCAGGGTGCGCGCAGCAGTCAATGTGGGCACCGACATGCCATCTCCCAGGAACATCACCACGTTCCGTGCTGAGCCACTGGCACCACGCAATCGCGTCTGTCGCGCCTTGATACCTGCTTGAGCTTCGTCTATCCAATACTGTGCCGATTGCTCAACGACGTCCGGCCCAGAACCCACAGCACGTTCTTTAGAGATCGGGTGTTTTCCAATCCTATGGTATTCATCGTATGCTAAACGAGACATAAAATTAATATTAATATATTGTGAATGAATCAACGTATTACTAAGCTAATGAAGCCAATATAGTTCGAAGAACCGACACCCGATCAGAAAGAAACGCTCTTGAGTGGCTGCCTGCTACCAATAAGGCAGGCAACCCCCTACTAAATTGAATGACGACATATGCAGGAAGTGGATACAGGTAGTTCTGGTCCTTAAATTGTGGTGATCGTTGGAAGAGGGTTATGTTCAGCAGTGGACGTATGAAGAGCTGTAAAGTTGTATGATGATGATATTGTCAATTAACCATGATGTATTAACTTTACCCATTGGGCATGGGTATCGTAAGAAGCGACTATGAAAAATACAAGAAAGCATTCATGGCTTCCACACACAAAACACACTCTCTATAATTCTATCAGTATATGGTTTAAATACTGAAATAGCTTCAAGGAATTTAAGCAAATTGCGGTATTAAATTTTATAATTATTGCGATGATGTTGCGATGAAAAATAAAGATTCCGAATATGACGGTTATTCTGTATTATTATAAATTTTACAAATATATATTTAATAAATTGGCTGGTCATATCTGTCACAGAAGTGATAACAGAGTGATAGCAGAAGTCATGGAGTGAAGACCACACTTCATTATCATACTAAAAGCCACCGCTGAACATTAATTGATTGAGACTGGCATAAACAGGAAACACGATCCTGCCTCACCTTTCTCAATCGACTCCGTTTGTTAAAAACAAATCCACTAAATGCAACACAAGAAACTCTCTTTTCTTAAATAAACGTCGATACTAAAACAACTGTTCTGATATCTGGGCATATTAAGACATTGTAGGAAGAATTTGCCTTATTTGTATCACCAAAGAAAATAAAGCATATTTATGAGCCACCTACATCCATCGGCTCTCTTTAAGCCCCATCAATTAGTCAATTTATGTAGCTGATTCTTTTTCCTATTCAGTTTTTGTTGCTCCAAGCACGCACAGAAACTCCAAGCGCATATCTTCTCTACAGCTTGCTGAACGATATCACCATCGAGAGGTTGCAAATTATCTTTTATGTAGTATATAGTACTATATAGTACTACTACTACTACTACTAGTAATAGTAGTATATAGTAGTATATACCATATAGTAGGACAAATTAACCTATGCCAGCATAATAAAAAACAACTTGGTGTTTCGCGTTACAAATAAAAAATACTCTGTTTTTGAGAGTTAACAAAAACGGAATAAATAGTATCTGAGAACATAACTAATAACGCGATAGTACTTATATCTATGTAAATCTTTAATTTAAAAAAAACCCACATCAGGATTTTCTCCTGTATCGTAAAGGCCGTTTACATACTAAACTTGCACAAGTACAAACATCCAGACAGAGATATAAAGTCAAAAAAAATTAAGTTTAACGGGTTTTTCAAGATTTAATAAAATTCAAAAAATACTACAGCTTCTTAAATATAGACACTTAACACTCGTTTAATAGGTGTTTAATTAAATCATAACGTTCGTAAATAAAGTATGTTAGTTAACTCACTGTCCCTTCTTCCATTAGCTAAAAAACCTTATAAACTATATTTGCGATTACTTAAAACATTTTAATACACACCTACACTTGGTCCTGCGAAAGCCACCAGTAGTGTTAGAATAAATGTGTACGAGTACAGACTTTTTTGGAGTCTTGACATATTTACACCGAGCAGAAAGAATACTAAAACGAGACTGAAAAACTTGAATTAAAACTAAGATTAAGTACCAATATTCGACACTTGCGGTTTCTGACTTCCTCTTCGTCTCACTATCTCGTATCGATCTGTCAACTTCAAATCTGATATTATAGTGATGAATAGAATAGAAACGTATTTTAATATTATTAGAATGAAATTCAAACAAAAAAACCTTTTAAATATTTTGGTTTTAAACTAAATTAATAAATTACAAAACAAACTAAATCTACTTCAGCTCTCATAGTAGTAATTTAGTGTAGTCATTTGGTATTTTATAATGGACAATGTCTAGAATCGCCCTCTGTAATAAAGCATCAGATATACACGATAATTAATTGTCCATTTTATTATATTAGTTGCAAATATTTTTGTAACACCGACTAGCTGCATGCAAAAATTAACATTAAAGAGTACTCTACTCGATTAATATCATTAATCGTCGCCATCTTCGCCAAACAGAATGTGGTGTCGAAAAATGATTAGGGATGCCCAACCGACTGTAATCGATTTTTGAATTTTTAATGAACTTTAGCATATTTTTTTAATCTGAATTACATTTTGAATTTATTTCGAATAAAATTCCAAAAAGAAGTTAAAATTCGAATTAAAAATTAGAATAAAATTCCAAAAAGAAGTTACCATTTCTTTATATTCTTTTATATTATTCCCTAAAGTGTATTTTACGTCTTACTAAACGATAACTTACGAGTTTACTACAATTAACATTAAAAAAAAAAACACTTCTCGTTACTGCATTTATTATAAATGTGTTCTTTAAAAAGAGCAATATTGCAGACTAGATACAGATGTTATTATTAATATTGTTACAAGTATGGAAGAAGTAGAGACGTACGTGTAATTATAAGTAAAGTAGGATATTGTCTTACTTTTTATGGTATTAATATTATCGTATAACAAAAGATGATGTATGTAATACTGTTTTTAACGTATGGTATTTGCCGTTCCTGTTTTTGATGTCACTAAATGGTCACTTGTCACTTGTCAGTCTCTCATGAAAAAAATACGATTTCCAAATCGATTCAAATCGAACATACTAGAATTTATTTTCGATTAAATCAAGCATTAACAGATCTATATTCGATCAATCGCGACATTTTCAAACATGCCTAATATAGACACATTATTATTGACGATAATTTACCATAAATACACGTAATTGTATAGAAACATCATTAAATTAATAAACACAACATCACGCCTGTATTTCACAGGAGTAGGTAGAGGTGTGTAGTACTGTTATTTTATACGTCCCATGTAATAGGGGGTGCGCGTATTGCCAAACACCGGACACAAATCCAGACTCCGTGCTACTACTGGGATCTTCAAGTTATAAAACCCAATAATAATTTGCCCAACCCTGGGATCCAATCCAGAACAGAACAGTTTTTCTGTCTGCCACAAGGAACATATGCTCCAACTATGCAAAAGTATTTCTTGAATTGTTTGAAATATAGCTAGTTTGAATAAATCCGATTCGAGAGGTTTTTGGATCGATTCATTGAATCGATGGAGTGTTCTAAGTCGATATCAGGGCATCGGCCAAGGATTTTTCAGATCTATATCGATCTGGAAAATCAATTACTTTACTACAAACAATAGATTAAATGATTTCAAATCGACATGCCTACTTTGTACTATCACTGTCATCTCTCACTCTGTCAAAATTACATTGGTTGGCATCGTTTGCTCTCTGAAACTCTATCGGTGTTTTGGTGACTTTCGGGACTATAAATTGAACATTATCTACGACATGGCTATTTTAACGAACTCTGATTGCTTTCAAAAACGACTTACCTTGTTGTGATTTTCGGAACTGTGTACCGCTCAAACGATAACCTAGCATTCACAAACGTACTTACGAATACGCAATGGAAAGTGTATTTTGTGTGAATTGTGGTTCTGCTGGTGGTTCCATGTTGTTGAAAGATGAACAGAGAAGCAATCGTGCAATATTGCTATAATTGCATCGTTTACGCAGAACCATCGGTTGCTGCGCCCATTTTATGACCATTATTTGGTGCTTGAGCTTTACGATACATCAACATAATATCGACATCCCTGCTCAGTTTTCAGACAATATTCTTATTTCCAATTTAGACGATGAACAATAAACATGAAATTAATCTGTGTTTTATTTCTAATTCCAACATAATAAGTTAATGTAGATGTAAAAATAACTTATACTACCAGTTAGGTACTAAGTCGGTAAGACTGGTTTCATAGTCACACGTTTGAGTAGCGCCGTCCATACGCACACGCTTGCAAATGCACTAGATAGTAGTCGATAATATTCACGCTGTTCAAGCGCGCGCTGTCAAAACTTGGTTGAAACCGTACCTAATAATAAAAACTCCATACCTAATTATCTAGATATGTACTAAAAATAGCTAAATATTTTAAGACGTCGTTTTTCAGTTTGTTAAAAATCACTCTGAGCTATGAAAAACCTTAATGTTCGTGGTTCGATTATAACCTCAAAATCCGATACTTTTTTCAAGTATTTCTATTATGCAGCTAGTCCGCTATAAAAATAAGATCATGTAGGTATTTACTAATGATTGACAATGAAACTCATAATTTTCCGATGCTCTTTGTTCCAGGGCGAACAATGTATGGGCGCAGAGCAATGTCCTTTATGAACTTTTTCCATAAACTCTTTTCGAGCCCTATGAAGACTTGGAAGAAATTTTCACGTGTGTGCACATACCTTTTTAGAAAAATGGAGGAATTTGACGAATTATAGCACGACTCATTCGATGAATATCGAATATCAGCCACGGAGGGGAACAAATGTTTTCATATTATGTTGTTGCCGTGGTATATCGATATTTATTTTAGAGTATCGAATTCGCATCAATTTCGATATATTTTAAAATGTTGTATTGATCGACTAAACATTAAGCAACAAAAGCAGCTACAGAAGCATTTATGCGCTGTTGTCGATTTTTTTTCTTCGTCTTACTATCTTCTATACATATAATAAAAATGTAAATAGCCGATGTCTGTACATTTTACATTTATATAATAAGAGAAATATTTTATTTATATAAATAAAATAAAATATT